AGGAACAATATTCACTGCCTTGCCATGACCGTTACTCATTTTTTTGGCCTTTAAGGGCCATAAAATTAGAATTCTACCTCATTCCCAGATTTTTCGTGTGCTATAGCCCACCCTGCTGCATGGGCCCGGGACATCGGATCTGGATCGCCTAAAATTTTGTCAGACAATAGAAAATGACCTAAGGAACACTAGTCACTACCTTGCCATGACCGTTAATCATTTTTTTTTTTGCGTTTTAGGACCGTAATACTTGAATTCTGTGCGATTCCTAGTTTTTCGTGAGCCCACGCCTTCTGCATGTGCCCAGGTGATAAGTAGGATTTTAACGTGTTTTATGCCCCTACTTGCCTATGCTTTGAGTATAATTTGATACAAAATAATCCCAAAATGCTCACAGGTTGTGCTTGATTGCAGGTTTGAGCGACAAAGTGACTGAATTATCAATGATCGGCTCAAAATGGAGTGAAACCTGCTCAAGCATCAAAGGCCAAGAAAAGTTAAGGAAAAAGATCCTAGTGCGGACCGCACAAAAGTGCACGCGGCCGCACTAGGAGAATCAGAGAAGTGCTAATTCAGCACTCTCACAACGCGGCCGCGGTTGGATTTACCGGCCCGCGTTCAGCTCACGCGACCGCGCCACATTTTCACGCGGTCCGCATGAAGAGATTCAGAAAGATGAAATTTGGGGACCAAAGCAAGCCACGCGGCCGCGGTCACATTCACGCGGTCCGCGCCAGATCTCATGCGGCCGCGCTACACTTTTGCGCGGCCCGCTATCCTCAACTTCAGAGAGCCAATCTTCAAGATTTCAAGAGCCCACGCGGCCGCGCTACCTTTTTGTGCGCCCGCGTTGACCCTGTAGGGGTATTTTTGTCCAAGTTTTTCAGCCATTATAAATAGATCCTTTTTCCATTTTTAGGTGAAGTTTTTAGATACGGAAGGCTGCTGAGCTCGTGAGAACGTTGGGTTTAGCCATGTTTGGCGTTTTTAATCTCTAATTTTGTATTTCTCCCTTAGTAATCAATTATTATGTTTGCTTTTTCATCTATTTCTTCAATTTTTGCATCTAGCATGAGTAGCTAAACTCACTAGCTAGGGTTGTGGCTCAACCCTAGTGTGGGTAATTAATGGGTGTTGCAATCTAAGGCTATATTGATATTGGGTGTTTGCTATTTGGGTTAATTTTAGGTTTTCATTAAGGATTGGTGGTTGCAAACACTGATTCTAGCTTGGTGGGTTTGACTCTTCTTGAGAAAGAGAGTCTATGACCCCAAGATTGACCCAACAAGAAATTGGGATGGACCCACGAGAAATGGTAGTCCCAATTAACGGGTTAAACCTCGAGAGAGTAATTACCCCACTTGAACCCTAGTTGCTTGGTCAAATTGGCCTACCCAATTGGTCTCGAGAGAGTCAATTGGGCAAAATCACTCTCTCTACCGAGAGGTGTGAGAGTGGGTACAATTGAGCAACGGTTATAGCATAAGCCCCAAATAAGTCAATTTACCCTTAATAGCATTTACCCGTTAATTAGCCACCTAGGTAATGCCACGACTCTAGTGCCTTTCTCTATATTAATTACAACTTAGCAATATCTCCATAGCATAATTTAGCTTCAAATATTAGTCTTAAAGTAGAAGATATAAAAAATCAAAACCAAAAATGTTAGAAGTGATATTAGAAGCACAACTACAATTCTAAACTAAGCAGATAATACAACTCCCTCTCTAGCTCCCCGTGGAAAATCGATCCCGATCCACTATCGGGTAAAAGCTGTTGCGACCCGCTCTTCCTACCTTAGTGTAGTGTTGAGTCGGCAGCGATCACTAGGCCATCGGACCTAGATCGCCCAAAATTTTGCCGGACGATAAAAAATGACCTAAGGAACAATAGTCAACACCTCACCATGATCGTTACTCGTTTTTTGGCGTTTTAAGGCCATAACTAGAATTCAGCTCGATTCTCAGATTTAAGTGTATTATAGCTCACGCTTTCTACACGGGCCCGGGCAACCGGATATGGATTGCCTAAAAATTTTCAAGACCATAAAAAATGATCTAAGGAGCAATAGTCACCGCCTCGCCATGACCATTACTCGTTTTTTGGCATTTTTGGGCCATAAAACTAGAATTCTGCCTGATTCTCAGATTTTCGTGTATTATAGCCCACGTCTTCTGCATGGGCCCGTGCCACCGGACATGGATCGCCTAAAATTTTGCCGGTCCATCGAAAACAACCTGAGAAAAGATAGTCACCGCCTCTCCATGTCCGTTAGTCATTTTTTGGCGTTTTAGGGCCTTAAAAGTAGAATTCTGCTCGATTCCAATATTTTCACGTGCTATAGCCCACACTTTTTGCATGGGTCCGGGCCACCACACCCAAATAGCCTAAAAGTTTACCAGACTATAAAAAATTTCCTAAGGAACAATAATCATCGCCTCTCCATGATCGTTACTCGGTTTTGGCATTTTTGTGCTATAAAATTGAAATTCCGCCAGATAACAAGATTTTCGTGTGCAACCCATGCCTTTTACATGGGCACAGGCCACCGGACCCAGATCACTTAAAATTTTATCGGACCATTAAAAACGATCTAAGGAACAATATTCACTGCCTCGCCATGAACGTTAATTATTTTTTTGGCGTTTTAGGACCATAAAACTGGAATTCTGCCCGATTCCCAGATTTTTCGTGTGTTATAGCCCACCCTGTTGCATGGGCCCGAGCAATCGGATTCGGATCGCTTAAAATTTTGTTGAACAATCAAAAACGACCTAAGGAACACTAGTCACTGCCTCGCCATGACCATTAATCTTGTGTTTTAGGACCATAATACTGGAATTTCTCGCGATTCCCAATTTTCATGTGCTATAGCCCACGCCTTCTGCATGGGCTCGGGCCACCGGACCTAGATCGCCTAAAATTTTGCCGATCCATCAAAACTGACCTAAGGAACAATAGTCAATGCATCCCCATGATCGTTACTCATTTTTTGGCATTTTAGGGCCATAAAACTAGAATTCTGCTCGATTCTCATATTTACGTGTTATAGCTCACGCCTTCTGTACGGGCCCGGGCAACCAGATCTTGATCAGCTAAAAATTTTTAGGACCATAAAAACGACCTAAGGAGCAATAGTCACCGCCTCTCCATAGAACTAGGCTATTTCCAATGGACCTACAAAATTTCAGGTCAATCACAGTCCATCAAAAAAATTCTACAAAATTAACATGTACTAATACTATGAAAAATAAATATAGTCATAAACTCGTGTTGCATGACCCCGAAATACCAAAAAGTGAACCCGAAAGTCATGGCGAAGTAATGAGTATTGGTTACTAGACTGTTTTCAATGACCTACGAAATTTCAGGCCAATCAGAGTCCATCAAAAAAATTCTACAAAATTAGCATGTGCTAAGACACACAAAAAAGTGGATATAATCACAAATTTGGGCACTAGGACGTCTCTTATGGACCTTTGAACCTGAAATTTGGTGGCTCCATTGGAAATGGCCTTCTGAGCAATACTTGCCTTGTGAGTAATACTCGCCATGACTAACTTCATTTTTGACGTTTCGAGGTAATAAAATAGGAATTAATGATCATGTCCATTTTTTCGTGTGTTTATATGCATGAAGATTTTTCTGAATTTGGTTGAGGAACTCTGATTTACCTAAAAATTGGTGGAACCATTGGATACGACCTTGTGATCAATACTCACGATGAATAATATTATTTTTTTTGGCATTTTGGGTCATAAGAATACTATGCACGGCCACATGGAACCTACCTGTGCTATGCACGACCACTTGGATTCACCGGCGCTTAAAAGGTTGACGAACTCTAATTGACCTGAAATTTGGTAGGTCCATTAAAAATGGCCTTGTGAGCTCTATTTGCCATGATTAACATTATTCTTTGGCATTTCGGGGCCAATTAATAGGAATTAAAGATTATTCTTTTTTGTGTGTGTTTATATACATGTTGATTTTCCTAAATATGTTGACGGACTCCGTTTGCCATAAAAGTTGGTTGAACCATCAGACATGGCCTTGGAGCAATACTCATTACTAATAACATTATTTTTTGACGTTTCGAGGTCATACGAATACTATTCACTATCACATGAGACCTACTGGTGCTATGTACCGCCACTTGGATCCTACTGCTCAAAAAATTGAGGACTCTGTTGGAATGAAGTTTGGTGGGTCCATCGAAAATAGCCTTATGAGCAATACTCACCATAACTAATATTATTTTTTGGTGTTTGAAGGTCATGACATAGGAATTATTGATTATGTCTATTTTTGTCGTGTTTATATACATGATGAGAAGGATAGCCTTGGCGTAACTGGTAAAATTGTTGTCATGTAACTAGGAGGTCACGGGTTCGAGCCATGGAAATAGCCTCTTGTAAAAATACAGAGTCCAGACCCCACAGTGTGGGATATTAATGGGTATGTTGTTGTTGTTTATATACATGATGATTTTCCTGAATTTGGTTGGCGGATTCCGCTTTGGCCTAAAAATTGGTGTAACCATCACGTACAACCTTGTGAGCAATACTCACCATGTCTAACGTTATTTATTAGTGTTCCGGGGTCATAAGAACACTATGCATGGCCACATGGATCCTACTCGTGCTATGCACGACCACTTGGATCCTATAGGTGCTTAAAAAGTTAACGGACTAAGATTGACCTGAAATTTGGCGGGTCCATAAAAATAGTCTTGTGAGAAATACTCACCATGACTAACGTCGTTTTTTGGTGTCTCGGTGTCATAAGAATACTATTCTCAGCCTCATGGAACCTGCCCGTGCTACGCACGGACGCTTGGATCCTACAAATGCTCAAAAAGTTGACGGACCATGGATAATTGGTGGGTCAATTGAAAACGTCCTAGTGGCTAACACTCATTGTTTCGCTATGGATAACATTTTTTTTTTTGGCGTTTTGGGGTTATGAAACAAGAAGTGTCGGACGTAAATATTAAGGCAAGCACAAAAGGATGCAAAGCTATAGAAATAATCAAAATTAGTGATATAGTTTTGTACAGTAGAATTATTACAAAGAAAAGGGGAAGTTGGCTCCCTTGCAAATTGACTTATTCTACTAGCAGCTTTACTCCTCTCCAGGACCTTGTTTTCAATCATTTGGTGGAAGGGTCGCCATTGAACTACAAATTCGTTGTATACGTATATATACATGAAGCTTATTTGTGTAGTATATAACTAAAATCATAGTGACCTATGGTGTTCAAGATGCTGTACAATTTCTTCAATCCTTAACCCGACCTGCAACTTTCTTGGAACTTATGAAATTAAAGCTTGCAGAGAAGCAAGAAATATTCAAAGCTATGCTCTCTGTAATCCAAGTATATTTTTACTGAAATTAATAGATTTTGGCTCCATTACTTGCCTGTAAATACCTTGCTAATTTCAGCTGCAAGTAGCCTCCACAGAGAGTTTCTTAGAGGTATTTGGACACGGATCGCCTCCAAAGACTTCAGGCACTACATTTACTGAACAAGATTGCCGTCCAATGCAGTTCTGTGATATCCCATTTGAAAATTCGGAGGAAGTACAAAATAAACAGGTCAATGACATTATAAAGATTAGCCAATGATTAATAAGTGAGATTAATGCAAGGCTAGACTCATGCTTTTAGACAAGACTAAAATAAAGGAATTCTGAATGACACCAGAAAATAGCAGCCATCAGTCTGCAGAAAAACCTTTAATCCTTCATCTAGATAAAGTCTAGGTACTTATTTAATGTGAAAAGGAATTTGACATACCTTTTCAAATGCATCATATGACTTATGAGCGTGGCAGCTACCCTCACGGTAGTTTCCACATGTTCCTTGTGGTAATCCATAACTCGCGAACTCTATGTTTGAGATTTTCTGCCCAGCTGAGCACCACAAATGAGCTTTTGGTTGCATATTGTTAGATTTCCCAGAAGTTGCCATACGCCAATTTTTAAGACTTGGCTGGCCTTCAACGATATCAGCACAAACTCTGGCTGTTGATCTTCTGACTAAAGAAATTCCTGTTGGGTCACCTCCCCATTCTTCAAACACTACCAATAGATTTCCACTTGGTTTCAGCCACGATCGTGGAACATGATACCTGAAATCAACAGTTTCATAATCATAGTTGTATTTTCTTTCAAACAGCAAGGTAATGTTATAGTTCCATATTTCTTCAAGCTTCTTGTGTTTGTCTTTTCTTCCCCTTAGCACCTAGTTTGAATAGGCTGATATTAGCCATTCTGGTTTTTAACTTTTGCTATTAGTAAGTGGGATTGTCATGCTAACGTTTCCACCAAAACTTGGACTACTCCACAAATCCCTTCCTCCTCCCCGCAATAATAAAAAGCCCCAGGGTTTGCCAGGACTTACTGAAATCACTTACCATCTTTGAGAAGGCTGCCCACAGTTAGTGTGACATTTCTTCTCACTGTAGAGTCCTGCATAATTGCATTCACCGCAGTTGCCCTGTGCTGTGTATCCAGGCCAGTGGCGACCTACGCCTTCACCATTTATCCATATCTGACCTTTTCCCATACTTCGCATATCTAAAGCTAATGGATCATTTCCTTCAGGTGCATCAAATGTAGCCTGGAAAAGATATTAGTGCTACAGTATGATTTCAGGATTATAAAACTGAATAAAACATGTACGCTTCTAGTTTTTTTATGTAAACATGATCCTATATCAGAGTAATGTGTGCACCAGTTATTGTCTTACCTTGTACCAAGTCAGGGGCTGCTTTTGAGACAAGAACGAATCTTTAGCCCATTCAACAGATGAACTCCCACTTAAGGTGTGAAGATTTAAAGATTCACCTCTCATACCAACCTGCATAAAAGCAAATCACCAGGGCTTATTGATATCAAGGGACAAAATGTTGTTCTCAAATCAGGCTTGCAAATCTAGACTGAACCCTTGGTAAAAGATAGGAAAGAAGGAAGTAACGAGCGAACCTTGTAAGCCCATCTTTGTTTTGTCAAATCTCTCGTCCCCTCATTAAGACCACTCAATGTTACTGGACCAAGAACTCCAGCATTCCACGTCTCAAAATGCAAGCCAACATTCTGGTTTGGACTTAACAACGTAAGAAGTAAAACTGCAGGTTCTAATTCCAGAAGACAGAGAAACATGACATGGAAAACTCACCGGGAGACCAACAGCAACACTGAGCATAGAAATCTTGTTAATACCAGCTCTTAGTTTCACATTGCCGCTATATGTCAACTTTGGGTTGTCCAATCCCCCATAAACGGTTCCTACCACAAAGGCAAAGTATAAACGCCAAATGGCGATAAAAATCGACTTAATAGATGTATTTATCAACACTTGCCAAATAAACAGCAGGTCTCAGTACCTGATAGTTGGCCATTGATGAAGACATGCAAGGCATGACCAGCAGACATAACAGTAAGAAAAGGTTCCTTTCCATTCTTTAGAAATCCTTCATCAGATGCTATGTTTACACTGGAGGAAGCGCACGGAATGATTACTAGCAATATTCAAATTACCAAGTAAAACTGGAAACCAATTTAAGTAGATAAAAGTACGTACTTTGTCATGTACCACAGATAGTCTGTGGAATCTCTAGTAACATTTATCTGTTCCCATAGTCCAGTGGCTGAAAGTGTGTCACTATCATCAGCAGCCGGAGTTTCTTCACTGTATGATTCCCAAGATAATCCACCACCAACAGATGTCATCTTCATCTGCGAGCTTTGGGAACTAATCTGCAGCAGTTACCAGATGATGTTAAGACTTTCGATCCTAAATGTTCATGTCACTTAATACTAAAAACTGATTTGATAAAGAAGGATCATCTTTCATTACCCTAGCAGTGTTGTAGACAGCGGTTTTGCAATCAGGAAGAATGCTGACGGACCATGGAGGCAGGTCATATTGCATATTCTGAAATGTAACTCTAACCGAAAAGCTTGGGTCATAGTTGGAAAGAAATGCAGCACACAATCCGGATTTTGAGTTATACACATGAGCCTGTGTTGGAGTTCAACAGGTAAATCAGTTTTGGATGAAATCAAAACGATAAATTCTTAGAAACTTCGAATGGTCTACATCAGACTAACCTCTTGATTTTTGCCGAGCCAAGTTACTGTTGCATAGGATGAAACTAAGGCTGGTTCAGATAACTTGATAGCTTTATGTAAGTCTCTCAAGTGCCCATATTTTGGTTCATTCAGCAGTCCTATTTCATCATACAGCAAAACCTTAAAGTCAATCATGTAACAGTAACTGCTTGCTAGAAACTTTATCCTGTTTCTTCTTTTGGTTGCACAGATGATTATAAAATTTGAGAGAACAGAATTCTATAGTTTTATTATGGTTTTTGTTTCATACCATATTCATCTAATGGAGCATCATAATCATAACTAGTGGCAATGAAACGCCCTGCAGCTGTCCGGCCAAAGTTTGTTCCCCCATGATACTGCAACCAAGATGATATACAACAACAACAACAAAGCCAGTGAATTCCCACAATATAACATATGAAAAAAGATATAGAATCCTTATAAAATCCGGTTAACTCACTACTTAGAATAAAAAGATAAGCTAACCATGTAATAATTGAAGTATGAACCATTGTTCTGAATAAACCTTGCAACTGCAAATGCGACATCTTCAGCAGGTCTACGAGGAACTGGACCACCAAATCTTGTATACCTGATCATAGTAGAGAATACAACACTGATTAAAAATCCAACAGAAGAAACAGAAGGAGTTCCACTCGTAGAGTTGAACTCGCGGAACTTACCAGGCAGTCCAGACTTCTGTCCACATTTTTGGTTTGTAGGGCTTATTAGGTTTAAAATTTTCACAGTAGAAACCATTGCAAGTATCAATCTGTAGCAAGAAAAAAATAGTAAATCCTAACATATTTTAAGCCAAAATACTATCAAGAATATAGATGCTGGAATTATGAAATAAAGAGAAGTAGCTAACCACAGGATCAGGGGCATCTTCTTGCTTACACATGATCCATGGGACTCCAGTGTCTAAACCCACAGCCATTTCAGCTGCCCATTTTGCATAAGGTTTACCAGGTTCACCAACTTCCCACTCTATTGGTCCATACTCATTTTCTATCTGCCACATTTAATTCCCAAAGTTGCTTTTTCAAAGAAAGAAATTAAGGGGAGCTTTGGCGTAACTGGTAAAGTTGCTGCCATATGACCAGGAGGTCATGGGTTCGAGCCGTGGAAACAGCCTCTTGCAGAAATGCAGAGTAAGGCCGCATACAATAGACCCTTGTGGTCGGACCCTTCCCCGGACCCCGCAGGAACTTAGTGCATCGGGCTGTCTCTTTTTTTTTTTTTTTTAATTTAGAGAAAATTAGGATAAAGAAAAAAGAAACAGCTCACTAATAGAAACATTGAACTGATTATTATAGACAAAATAAAGAAATAAGTATATTTACAAACCTGGGCCATAATAATTGGTCCTCCTTGAGGTTCAAATAAATCTTCTGATTTCATCATGTTGACAATTTTCTCAACAAATCCTTGCATGGCCACCTTGATCATACTCAAACAAGTAAACATAATTGAAACAAAACAAATAAAATCCAGTTAGAGTATGTTGTGAATAGATCCAAAATATGAACCAAACCTTGAAAGGCTGATTATCTGCTCTAAATTCCATTCCTGCTACATATTTTAACCAAACAGGAAAACCCCTGCATGAAAAAACAAAGTATAAAAACAGGAAAACTGAAAACTATTTTAGCCAACTTAAAAGTTCCATTCTTGAATCTTGAGTAGAATTTTTATGTATATTACCCAAAGTTCCATTCTGCACAAATGTAAGGGCCAATGCGGAGATTAACATAAAGTCCAGCTTGTTGTACCAGTTTTATAAATTTAACCAGATCATACCTCCCCTCAAAATTAAACTGAAAAAGGGAATAAAGCAGAAAAGAAACAGTTATAATCTTTTATTTCATTTCATGGATTATACTAATACAACAACAAGGTACCCAATATTATCCCACATCGTGGGATCTGGGAGAGTAGTGTGTACGCAGACCTTACTCCTACCTTGTGAAGGTAGAGAGGTTGTTTCCAATAAACTCTTGGCTCAGGAAAACATAAGCACCACATTAATTAAAAGATAGACAATGAGGGACAACACAAAAAAGACAAGTAAAAACAGCATAAAATCAACACGATAATAATATGATCAAAATGAAAGAAAATGACGGGTAGTCATAGAGACTTACTACCAACAGAATGCGTAATAATCCTACCGGTATGAACAATCTACCACCTACCCTTCTACCCTAATACTCGACCTCCACACCTTCCTATCAAGGGTCATGTCCTCGGTCAGCTGAAGTTGTCTCATGTCTTGCCTAATCACCTCTCCCCACTTCTTCTTCAGCCTACGTCTACCCTTCATAGGCCCTCCAATGTCTACCTCTCACGCCTCCTCACCGGGGCACCTGTGCTCCTCCTCCTAACATGTCCAAACCACATAAGCCTCGCTTCCCGCATCTTGTCCTCAATGCGACCACACCCACCTTGTCGCGAATAACCTTATTCATGGATTATACTAATATGAGGATAAATATTTAAGGCAAAAGAGTGGAAAGTATTACTTTTCCAGGAGAAGGCTCATGCCCATTCCAGAACACGTAAGTCTCAATAACATCTAAACCTCCATCTTTAGCCTTTTGTATAAGATCAGGCCACATCTGCAAATTACCAAAAGGTTAAGCCATGAAAACAATGAAAATGTAGCAAATGATACAATTTCATTTTGGTGCATAATATACCTCGGGAGTGCTTCTTGGGTAGTGAATAGAACCAGAAATGAGAATTCTTCGCTTCCCATTAATGACTATGGCTCTATCATCATACGTAACACGAGCTCTAACTGAAGAATAAATGAACGAGAAAAAGACTATAAAGAGCAACAGTGATATTCTCAGCATTTTCACAGACAAAAGAATGATAAAGGAATGATACTTTTGAGAAGCAAAAGAATACAACTATATTTATGGAAACAGTTACTACTATTTTAGCAAAAAAAAAAAACAGTTACTACTACTATTATTTTTTAGCACTTTTGGTGATTCATGAAAATGGGGTCCACTTTCTTTATATGGGCAGAACATTTTTCTGACACGGAACTTAGGTTATCCAAACGAAGTACTCCTCCATTTCATATTAGATGAGGTAGTTTAACTCGACACGAAATTTAAAAAAGAAAAAGAAACTTTTGAAACTTGTGGTCTTAAAAGCTTAAGGGGTAAAAGGTTTGTGGGGCCATGCCATTTGTGTGGCTATAAAAGCTCTCATTAAGGGTAAATGGGTAAAATAAAGAGTTTAAAGTTGAATTATTTCCAAATTTAAAAATGTGTTATTTGTTTTAAACAGACTAAAAAGGAAAGTACCTCGTCTAATATGAAACGGAGGAAGTAGTATCTTATAGCTAATGTTATATTTTTTTGTTTATTTTTGGATCATTGTAGCAGTAGTTTTTTGTTTCGGAAAAGGGTCTGATATATCCTTGTACTATGGTAAATTGTTTAAAATTGTCCCTCGTTATACTATTGGGCCATAAAAGTCTCTACCGTCCAACTATCCTAACAAATCTGCCCTTACTTTGACGGAAGTGCCACGCGGCATCCATCCTTGCCTCTTTTTAAATCTGGGCACATAAGAGACGACCCGCTCCAACTATACCCACCAACCCATAACCCATTTATAAACCAAATAATACCCCAAAGCCATTGACCAACGATTTATAACCCAAATTAAACCTCAACCCTAATTTATAATCCTACTGCCATCTCCATCAAACCCTCTATGCTATGCACAGTCAAAGGGTCTGTGTCTGACTCAAGAAGAAACTATGCACAGTCAAAGGGTCATTTTATGAGTAGGAAGCGACACAGAAGTGTGGAGTATTAAACACATGTATCAACCAGGCGTACTATAGGGACCAAAGCCAATGACATGATTTTGATAGTGAAAAGCACAATCTGACTCTCATAATTATGATAATCGCAGACACAGACAAATGTCTTTTCCTGCACGAAATATTTAATTGCAACATGATGAAGTACTATTCTTATTCAAATATGCCTGCAATTCTGGAACAATTGGAAACACAGAGGTCAGTGCAAAATGTTGACCCTACTGAAATAAATGGAACCTTCCTACTTCATTTTCTTTAATCTTTTTCTCTTCCCTCTTTTTTCCTTTGGCAGTATTAGATCTAAACTATTTATTCGTACTCATATTAGAGGGTTTGATGGAGATGGCAGTAGGATTATAAATTAGGGTTGGGGTTTAATTTGGGTTATAAATCGTTGGTCAGTGACTTTGGGGTATTATTTGGTTTATAAATGGGTTATGGGTTGGTGGGTATAGTTGGAGCGGGTCGTCTCTTATGTGCCCAGATTTAAAAAGAGGCAAGGATGGATGCCACGTGGCACTTCCGTCAAAGTAAGGGCAGATTTGTTAGGATAGTTGGACGGTAGAGACTTTTATGGCCCAATAGTATAACGGGGGACAATTTTAAACAATTTACCATAGTACAAGGATATATCAGACCCTTTTCCGTTTTTGTTTTGGAATGGAAATACTCCATTTATGATAAGATGGGAAAAAATGTTGCTCGTAGTTTCTTGAATAATAGCGTGTTTGGCCAAGCTTTTTTTTGGGCCAAAAGTATTTTTTTTTTTTTTAAAAAAAATTGAGGTGTTTGGTCAAACCTTTAGAAGGAAAAAAAAAAAGTGCTTCAGCAGAAGCAGTTTGAGAACCAGAAAAAAGTAGTTTCTCTCCAAAAATACTTTTTTCTGAGAAGCACTTTTTGAAAAAAAAAAATGCACTTAAAAGTAGTTTTTAAAAGCTTGGCCAAACATTAATTACTACTCAAAAGTGTTTTTCAATTTAATTAGCCAAACACAAATTGCTAATCACCAAAAGCATTTTTTCTCAAAAATACTTTTGAGAAAAGCACTTCTCAAAATAAGCTGATTTATTTTAAAAGCTTGACCAAACAGATTATTAGGTTGATTTGGTTCTTTTTTACTACTTTTTTTTCTCACAAAGGATAGAAAAGCGTAGTTTTTATAAAGAAAAAATTGATTTTGCTATGGTTGGAAAAGACTTCCAAAGGGGAGTGATTTTTAAAGTGACAAGTTTTGGGATTGAAATTTAGATACTTTATTTTATGTACTTCCACACCAAGAGTTAGTTAATTGTACCTCCTTTTGTTTCATGTCCTCCCCAAAAAAAAAAAAATGAGGAAGTCAATCTCCTTTTTAATTCCAGCAAATTGCTAATAAAGTACATGACTTTGATTGTTCTTCTCAACAAATGGCTCACTATATGGGATTAATAGGAATGACAAGAAATTTTTCTGTAACCAATTTTTGTTTTTTCTGGTTGCTTACTTTTGATGGCCATTACAATCTACGCTTGCACGAGAAGAAAGCTTTTAAAAAAAAAAACTAAAGAGAAAGCAAAACCACATGGTTTGCAAATTTGGATCATCAGTAATGCAAGACGTGCAAGAGAGAAAGACAAACTTTTAAAGCCAAGATATAGATATATAAGGGGAAGTAACAAGCAACTACAAAAGCAACATTGTTTTAGTATACCCAAAAAAAGAGTACTTTTGAACTGTAAATCAACCTTTTAATTAAGTCAAGGAGTTAGTTCATCAGATGTAGCATTGGTCTTGATGATAAGATGTACTAGTAGTTAATGTATTTTATTTTCCTATTTTATAATGTAGCTTAACTGCTGTCCAAAGCAACTATTACTTATCTTTTCTCTTTTGTTAAAACTTTGAAAATCCAATTAAATAGTAATATCTTAATAAATTTAATTTGAAGAAGCATTAATTTAAGCTCTATACATCTCATATTCATATATCTAATTCATGAACCAAATAACCCCGAGAGATTTCCTAAATTGTTTGACAACTTGGATTGGCACGTTTTTTCGTTGTGCATCAGAAGACAACATGATAAACATAGACCTTCAATTGTTTGAACATATCCAAAATTGTGGGCTTTGGTGGCCCATTTTATTACAGGCCCACTTAATATGATCAATTTTGTAGGAAGAAATTCAAAAATAGCCAGATTTACCATTGGTCGTTGAAAAATAGCCAAGTTTCAAAAGTCATCGAAATTTAGCCACTTTAAATCTGAGCGAAAACACTGTTCAAAATCCGGAAAAATACGCCCGCAAATTTTACGGGAGTTCCAGCATAAGTATGCTTGAACTCCCGTAAATTTTACGGGAGTTCCAGGATAACTATGCTGGAACTCCCGCAAATTTTACGGGAGTTCAAGCATAATTATGCTGGAACTCCCGCAAATTTTACGGGAGTTCCAGCAAGTATAATTGTCCAGTATAATATACTGGAGTTTGGAGCACTGGTGCTCCAGTCTCCTGCAAATTTTACAGGAGTTAGCAAAGTATACCAGTCCAGCATAATATGCTGGAGTTCGTACACAAATGCATCAGAACTCCCGTATATTATACTGGACCGGTCCCTGTTGCAGCAAGATAGTGGCTATTTTTCATTGACTTGATAACCGCTGGCTATTTTTCATTGACCAGTGTGAAAACTGGCTATACCATGATATTTTAACAATTTTGTATGTAAAAGCATAGGAAAGCTATGAAGCAATTTTGGTACTTAGCCAAATGTTTGGTATTCATTAGTGTAACTTTTAGCCAATTTATCAGTGTAAGTACACAAATAGCCCAAAGTGGATGGTCTTGAATTTTTGTTTCCGCTTGCCCTATGAGCATAACTTCACGTTTAACAACTGTTTCCAACACTATTAGCTTTTGATCTTGAAATCTTACCCATGCGGCAAGCAGAGGTTAAAAGTTAAATACCATCCCAAAAAGTATCATATTGAGCATGTCCTAACTTAAGTGATGTTGAGTTTGGTCATTCTTGGTCAATTGTTTAATTGGGTTCCAACAACAGAACATATTTAAGCCCGTTAGTCTTTGCAGGAGTAACCTAATTCATCTTTTAAATGGTATGGGCTAGTTTCTTTATACCCTGTTATTTAATGTTTAGCCAAATTTTCAAATCTTGTATAGAAATAGCTAATTTTTTGTTAAAATTAGGGTTGGGCATATATCGGGTAAAGCCGATAGCCCGAACCGAAAAAAGCTTATTGGATTATCGGTATCGGATTATTGAGTTAACGGTTCGGTAACGGTTTAGTATTATTTTACTATTAGACTATCGGCTCGGGTCTCGGTTTTCCCAATTTTATTAACGATTTAACTGATAACCCAATAAACTTTATAAAAATATGATTTTAACCTTAGGTATATAAATTTTTCAGTTCTCCCAATTTTCTGTCTACTGTTGTAATCCTCCCAAATTTGTCTTTCTAACACACAGAGAAACAATATTGTAAGGTTTATCATATAGTTGAAAATTATGGAGGATTTTATGTATTGTCCCTTTTTACTTTCTTAAAACAACACTTATTTTGAATCAAATTAGAAAGGCTTCAACGATATAAAAAAGAACTGAACAGGATAGCTAGTGGAAACTCTTAAGCCGCAAAAAGGTCTTATTCAGCTTACAAGTGGAACTTGGGCACATCCCAGAAACCAAAACAAAATTTAAGATAAAAGTTGAATATTGAATGAATGTTTGAAAATATTGGACAAGAATCAAAGCCTGTGATCATTGTCTTTGCCTAATCAAAATAAAATGCAACTTAATACTTTTTTTTGGGATACTTTTTGCTTTTTGAGATTCAAATTTCTTAATTTGAGTATGTATGTGAACTTAGAATGATTAAATTCTTTAAACATAATTAATAATACAAAATATTTTAAAACATATAAGAAAAATACGGTCAAAGAACAACTCGTTTAACTTGCAAAATTCGATCACTATCACATAAATTGGGATGGAGGAAGTACATTATATGATTATACTATAAAATGTT